TTTTTTTCCATCCTGTTAAAAATATGTATTAAAGGAGTATGTATGGACACTGTCATATCAACTTTGTACCCACCTAATTTTTGCTCTCAACTTTGTAGAAATGGGTTTGTTATATAAATAAATTTGAGGGAATTCAATATTACTGAGGATCTTTCAGAATAACAAAATAATTTGGAAAAAAAAGACCACTATAGACAGTTTTATAAGCAAAGGATATTTACATGCCCATATTCATAGATACTCATTTTATTCAATTTGGAAATGAGAAGTGGATGGAATGTCTTCAAATTATAAGATACTAAAGAGCTTCTAAATATTGAGTAGTTTCTCTCAGTTATTATTTCCATTGGTTATATTTAGCAGACTCTACCAGTATTACTATACATAATTATAATCAGCTTTTGAAAATAATTTTCATCAATGGATATTCATTCTGATAGAAACTGCACGTTTTACTGTTTTTTTCATATAATTAACTATTGTGCACTCTAAAAACTGTCATGAGAAGGAAATTTAAAACTTACTGATATTTTGTAGTATTTCTTTCTCATGCACATTAAATTTGTAATAATTAGAGTTGGGTTTAGCTCCAACTTTTAAAAATTTAATATAATTAATATTAAGAATTAAAAATATTTTATTTAATTTCAGTAATGGATTTTTTTCCTCCAGTATTCAGATGACAACATTGCTTCCAAAAATTTAAATTGTAAATTAGGACAATTTTCTGAATTTCTAAAAGTTTCAATATCTTAAAGTTCCAAAGATATAGCAGCTGTGGAATGGTATTTATATCAATACTTCCCTGAAGTTAAAGTAGAAGTAATTTTCATTTTTGGTGGTTTATGAATGTTTTACATGAAACTTACTGTCTTCAAAATGCTTGGCAAAATATAACTAGACCATGTCTCAGAATTAACCTTTGGCTTTTTAGTGTATGATTATACATAGGTATAATCATATAGAATTGGCATCACCTTCGTCTTTGCAGGCTTTGTCATTAAAAAGAAAGGAAAAAAAAGTAGAAGAGCATTAAGAGCAGACTGACATGATGTGCAAAAAGTACAAGAGTCCACATCCTTACAAGGAAAGAATAGAGCTATAAATTGCATATTGGATAGTTATTTAAGTGCCGAACTCAGTGTGCACAACCTTTCCCATTATTGTGGGGGACTTTTAGTGTAAAATCATTCCGATAGATGTGACTATGTTTGCAAAGTCTGAATGAACATAGAATTGCTTCCTCTTCCATCTGTGTGGTCATCATGGCAGTGATTGCACTGTGACATAGATGGATGTGTCATGCCAAGGCTTTGATCTGAGCTGGAAATGGGCTTTACAGCTTCTACCAAGAGATGAAATGATACAGGGGAGATTACTCAGGATATTTTCAACTCTGTTGCAATTTCAGAATCCTGGAAATATTCTATGAAGGCTTCTCTTGTGGGAAGCTTTGTATTAATATACTTGCAGAAACAAGAAATTTTGAAAACCCTAAACTGCATACTATTTTTTTGCCTTCTCCAACTCATTCTATGACTATTCAAAACATAATCCCAGCAGAATCATTTCAAATGCATTAGAAGCATTTCAAATGAACCAGAAATAAATGAGAATAATAAATAAATAAATGAACTAAACTTGTGAGAAAGAGCTTACACAGCAGTAAATTCTTTTGTCTTGAAGTGACGAGGGTCATTCGTTTGTTCAGCTGTGGTAGAAGTGTCATGTAAAATTTTGCCTGCAGTGTTGATTGTGAAAATAATTTAAAGATGCTGCAAACACCTTGTCAAAATTTTGCCCCATCTGTGTGAAGTTAAACTGGAATAGTTTTGAAACTGCTCTTGAGCTCACTCTTGCTCATGCCTATGATACCTGTGTAACTGGGCTTTGTAACTATTAGTGTTGCTGTAAAAATGCAATAATAGTAAACAGAACAAAAAAATAGAGGTAATGTGAAACAGAAATGAACAACAGTGTCTAAAGAGCAGGAGAGGAAGGAAGGGAATTAGAGTGTAGTCCCTGCCTGAAAAATCAAATAAGGTTCTGTCTTTAGTGCAGATTAGGCAACCTAAGCCCACTGCTGTTTCTCTAGATGTGATTTTTGAATTAAATTGTAGCACAGAACACACAGTTACAGCAAATGATAACTTTAATTTTCATTGCTACAGCAGATTTTTTTTCAATTTTTGGGTAACAAATTAAAGGAGCTCCTTCAAAGTGCACATAAATATGGCATTTACTTATGGCATTACTGTAATATTTATCCAGTTATGTTAAATCTTTCCTCTAATTTTTAGTATTATGGTATCCCATTGATTTTACTGTAGTTTCTCCTGGTGTTTAGTAGTATAAATACATGAAACCACACTTACGATGAAGCATGTTTAAATGGAAGAGTAGTAAAAGCATTTTTAACAGTCTTTTGGCTCCCTCAAATGTGAAACCTTTGCTGACCTAAAAGGGTGAAATCCCGTAGGACAAATCATTTTAATTTAAAATAGGGAATATATTGTTAGTCCTGGAGACCACAGCACGCTACTGTCTGGAACTCGAAGAACTATAGCACTTCCATTTTTGTGAAACTTGATGTAAAGAGGAGTTTCAAATTGGCTTCCTTTCTGCGACAGACTGAATGGTGCAATGATAAGGCTTAGTGGCTATATTTTTCTTTCAGCCCAAATGAGAGCTGCTGCTGAAAACAAAAGTCCAAATTGAAGAATAGCACGAAAATTTAATTTGGAAAATTTAAAAGCCATTATTTCTTTAGCCTTCTTTAGACATATCTTTTGAACAAATTCCTCATTTAAAAGAAAAGAAGGACATTGTGTTTGTCTTTGAAATGGAAAACTTAAAAATTGAAAGAGAGAGATGATCTCTGAAATGAAAGATGCTTTAGGAACAGGATCAGCAGAAGTAGTAATTCTGGTATTAGGTGAATAGAAGTCCCACATCAGGATTGTGGTCCACTGTGCTGAGTGTTATGCAAGCAATATGAAGATGTATTATGCATTAAATAATTTGTCAGTTCTTGTAGATTTTTATAAAGGGCAGTGGTACGAAAGTACAGCTGTTAACTACAGCATTAGCTGACCTCATCTAACAATCATGACAAGTACCAAATAACTGTGGAAAGGAAGATTCTGAAGCTCTCTCTAGCCTGTTTATAAAGCTGTGCAATTCCATTAGCTTCAGTGGATTTCAGCAGCTTTTACAGGAACTGAACCTCGAATTAAGAGTCTAAGCCTCTGTGTTGTTGCAGGGTTGTTCACTCCTGTGATTTCTGTTGGTAGGGGGCATAGTGACTCGATGTGTAGCCTACCTTATTTTGACATAATCATTTGCTTTGAATAATGCCGTACAGAAAATTATCTTGTTGAGTTCTCAGATGACATCCACTGTTTTTTGGCTAAAGCCACATTTGCAGAGTATGAGGTCCTGTCTTCCGTCCTATATGTTAACATTTGGCTTCTCTTCCCTGCTGCCTGCTTTTGTAAATAAATTTTTTTCCAACTATAACAGAAACATTTCATAATTTCAATGTCTTTGCATTTTAATATGATTTCCTTTAGCACTGAAGCCTCTTAAAATATAAAGCTATTGTACATCAAGGAGAATTTTGCTGTATACATTCGTGCATCTAAAGACAGGAGAGGGCATGCTGTACTTAACTTGTTTGACCTGTAATGTATACAAGGAATGTAAAATTTGGCTGCATGTGTAATGACCTGGTAGCCCAGGTAATTTCCTTTATGCCTTAAATTAGGTAACTGAAATTCATAACGCATAGAATCTTGCTTGTTGAGCAGTCTAGCATTATATTTGCAGAGCTACCACTATACTAACTGGTATTACGTTCGCATTCAGTGATTTATTTGACTTGGGAAGCCAAAGAATTTATTCTTTCCTAAAAGGTTGTTTTCTAGGGCTCCAAATGATCAAGTGATCTACATTATATTTTTCTGCCTTATTACAGTTGGGATGAATACATGATCATTTGCAATATATGTGTGTATATATATGTATATATGGCAGGACATTATGGATATATAGTATATACATCAGCATATATTGGGACATGACTTTCTCTTTGGTCTGTGACTTCAACATTGTTCTGTGGCTTCTCCAACCTATTTTAGAAACCTCACAAATAAATCACTAATCATACTTGTGGGAGTTACTTCCTTCCTTAGATAAAAGTATATCTATAAAGTACCAGTTTGTATAGTGTATGCTTTGGACCTGTCCCACTGTTAAATAAAGCATAATATAATCTAGAATTTGCAATGGCTGCCTGATACACACAAAGGTATTTTAATTAAGCTGCATGCAGAAATTAACCCTTAGAGTACTGCTTCAAATTCCTCAATTTATTTTGTTATTTAATTTTACCAGTGAGCTATGCTGCTTTTCTACTCAGTTCATAGTACTGTACATAAAGTACATTAAATAGCCATACACCAAAGAGAAGTGAGAAAAAGGAAAAAAAATAAATCCAAACCCAACTTCTTAGAAACAAGGGATTCTACAAGACTAAGTACCCCAGGTTGCTAATGGGTAATGTATTCCTAAGCAACTACTTTTTTTTTTAAAAGGTTTTATAACATGAATTAAAACCATGTAATGTTTCACTGTAACTGTGTGCTTGTTAGGTTTGTTCCTACAGTATCATAAGTGTATTTCCTATAGAAAGAAGTCAGTTCTTTAAGGGTTAATGTGGGGTTAAGGAATCCTGAGGTATTCTCCTGCTTGTCCTTTCTTAAACGTATCTGCATGTTAATTCTCAGGTATTACCTGAACAGGTCAATATAAAGACGATATGAATGACTAACTGAATGAATGAAAAACTTCATTTGAAATGCTTGCTTGTATCTTGTAAATGACTGGAAAACAGAAATGTGATTTCTGAATCAAGGTCTTCAATGAAATGTATAAAAAAGTCACCAGAGTAGAAATTCATATACTGATGATTTACTCCAATTTCTTTTTCTTTCAAATAGCCCAATAGAATCCTGCCAGAATTTCTACAAAGATTTCACATTACAGATCGACATGGCTTTCAATGTGTTCTTCCTACTCTACTTCGGCTTGCGTGTAAGTAGTGTGTCTTCGATAGTATGGGTTAGGGAGGCGATACAGCTATTTCAATAGGGAGAGGTTTTGAATACAGTCTGACTTTACAATAGCCAGACAAAATTAACCTAACCTTTAAAATGCGCGAGCAAAGAATTTGATTGAGAGCAGTTAGTTAATAGTAATAAGTATCCAAGATCACTAACGAGACTAGTAGTTTATAACCTAAGCCACGTTCCAGAATGTTCTTGTGTGATAGAAAGTGAAGAATATCATAGTTCAGTTCTGGTCAATGACGTCAAATCTAGTTTTGATGTTCTCAGTGGAGTGGGAACTACCTCAGCAAGACTAGTGAGTACTTAATCTGTTCCTCTGCTGCTAGATATGTCTTTGGCAGTTGAAGGTTGAGATAACAGCTGGTAGAGCTGCTGTCTTCAGTTTTATGCACACCCACTTTCCCAGACTGCAAAGGAATGCTTTGCAGAAGCTGTATATACTAGTCAACAGGCTGAAATGTATATCCTTAGAATATACTTACCCTTTTTCTGAAAATCCAGTAATGCAGTTTCAGAATCTAAAAGTTGGGACGTCCAAAACAGGTAAGCACCTTTAAAAGTTTGGTCCAGTAATGCTTGTAATTCAAGCTGTCGGTGGGGTTTTTTGGGGTGGTTTTTTTTTTCCCTCTTTAAATTCACTTTGAAAACTACGATTGCTTGTTGCTAATTGCAAAACTGAGGGGGAAAAGGCCTCAAACAGAACTATAGGGAGAAGCTCATGTGAGCAGAAAGTCTGACACACTGGTCTTTAAATTTGATACAGGTATTGCCTCCTGATCTTCCTTTGTCCAGTTTGCTCCTAAATCACAGGAGCTCCTATGTCACAATGGTAATTGAGTTCCTTCTATTTCACTTCCAACCATTTCTGATTATTTAGTAAAAACATTTTTTGCAAATCTAGGTTATTTCATTACCTGGTTTAGGTGCACTCTGTATCCTTTGGGTAAATTCCTTCAGCATTTACACACTTATGAGTGCATTCCAAACTATTTTAAAAGCGTACAGTGTAGTAGCCCCTAATTCTTAAGGATGTCCACCAGGCCTGCAGTATACGTTAACTTTTGATGTAAGAGATTATTTTTTTAGAATCATCCAAATGTTTTTAAATTTTGTGCTAGTGATAAAGTTGTGTGTTCTTACAGGAGAATTAAAATTACATATCGGCCACTCTTACTTACTCAAAGCAGTATCTTGGGGTACATTGTCAAAAAGCAGAGAGTATAGTCAGAGTTGATAATACCTTCATATCCACACTCTGTGTTATTTGGAAGGGAGAGTACTGTGGAGTCCACTCTAGTCCTGTGGACTGAACACAATTTAGCTGTTACAGTATTTGAGATGCACTGCTAGAACACCCTTTTCAGTTTTAGCTTCAACAAGAATAAATGTTTGTGTTATCTAAAACTGCTTTGTGATGCAAACTCAAGTATGATAGGTGGGGATGATAAGAATTCACCCTTATCTAAGTTAAAATGCCAATAGAGGTGTAACTTCAGTTCTCCAAGAAGTCCTGCAGAACTAAATAGAGTTTCTGAGGAAAAGATGCAAGAATTGGATTCATAATGAATTTGCTAGTTATGTAGTAAGCATCTCATACCTTTGGCTATTTCAGTGGGTTTATTTCTGATAGGTATCTCCTTTCTCACTGGCAAATTAAAGTATTTGAAGAAATATTTTAAAATCTAATCCTTCCCCATCTATTCTTACCAAAATGATGTTTCAACTCAAAATCATGTCAATATTACTGTATCTTCGGTTCTAGAAGATATTTGTGTTCAAACACGCATATATAATTAAAAATTTTTTTGTGGCTAGTGTCCAACTGTGAGAACTCAGAAGTGAAGTCTGCAAACTGCTGATGAAGACTAAGTCCAAATATGCACAAATTAGCAAATAATCAGGCAATAGGGTCTGGCAGAGACATGAAAAGTATGGAAGTAATCCCTCTTTGGAACCAACAGAATTATGCTAGTGCTTCCAGAGCACAATCTCTCTCCAAGCATGGCAGGATTGCTTCTATAGTAAAATAGACTTTTACCAGTCATTAGTTACCTAAATGAATAATTTTTCAGATTCTTCCACAGAAAATTACGAGTGGCCTTTACAGTCGACAGACATTGTGTTCTCTGTTGAATAACACACTTTAACCTTTTTGAAAGCCTAAAGGCCATACCCTCTTGAAAGATAAAATGCTGATCACAGAATGTTAGGGGTTGGAAAGGACCTCAAAAGATCATCTAGTCCTGCCCTCCTGCCAGAGCAGGATCACCTACAGTAGGTGATACAGCATATATTGCAGATTGTGAAAGTACTGATCTGACATCTTAAAAAGGTTTTAGTTCCAAATATTCTGTACTTCTAAATTCAACAGAAGGGAATAGAAAGATTCTGCTAAACCTGGATATTTTTGTTCAGTCTTCAAGTTGGATCATTGATATTGAGTAAAAGAGACTAACAAAATGTCAATTTACTTTTGATTTTGAGTCTTCTCTGAGGCAAATGCTGCTTATGTTGTCTGTGTTCTTTTTGAGTATGTTTTCGACCTTCTTGATGTCAATGATTACAGAGAGTGCTAGTATTTGATTTGGAAGAAAGACAGTGGATATTGTCTGTAATTCAAAAATACAAGCACTATTTTGAAGTATGTTAGTCCAGATTTTGATACTAACATGAGTAAAACTGCTCTGTTAGACATACATATTTATTTCTACATTTATATTTCATATTTATATAAAGCCTATGTTTTAGTTACTACTTGAATGAGAATAGTAGTCTGACTTTATTTAAGCAAGTTCAAACTGATGTACTTGGCATCTAAGTTTGCCAGTTTCCATAGGCTGATTTTTTAGAAGAGAAAAAATACCTCAACTGTGGCAAAATTCGAAGGACTGTTGCAGTCCTGAATTAGGTCTTGTAGGAGTCATCCTGGTGATTACCTCTGGATAGGATGGTAATGGGACTCTTTGTAAACTGTCATGTGTTTAGAAACCTGTGAGGAGCAAATACATAGCGAGATTACTATCAACATGTTTGGTGTGCTAGAATAAAGGTGATATACTTGGATATATTTTACACTTACCTATACTTTTATTACTAATACATTGTTACAATACAATGTTTTTTGGTGTAGGTGTTGCAACTTATCCTATAAATGATCTATCTCTTTAGTTAGACCTGTCATTTTAATCTCCATGTGATTATCAAGCAAGGGACAGTTCAGACTTGTTTTCAGTGGGGTATGCTGGTTTGTCTGGGCTGACTCAAATCATCGGTTACTTCTCCACTAACTTTGGAATTTATGGGAATGAAAAGTATTGCACATACTTGCAATCACCAGGAGCATAGAGCATAATCTGATTCTGCCATCCCCTCTCACTTTTGTTTTTTCAGTTCATAGCAGCCAATGACAAGCTATGGTTTTGGCTAGAAGTTAACTCAGTAGTAGATTTCTTCACGGTCCCTCCAGTGTTTGTGTCAGTCTATTTAAACAGAAGTTGGCTTGGTAAGTAAACTAGCTTTTCCATTTAATAGCTTTTATAAAAGTATGTAAACTTTGCGCATTTTGGTGGAGAATTTCTTCATCTTGTGGCAACGTGTGAGCAGAAGAATGTTACCGATGTTATTTCTGCAGTGAATTTGCCGTTTCAGCAGGCAGGTGAGTTATGTTAGAAAAAACTCTACTGAGTTCTTTTTGTTCTTGATTCAATAATATAATCTCCTATGCTAAGTGATGGTGAACTCCATCTTGGAAGTACTGTGTGAGGCTGTTTTTGTAAAACAGTGAATTTCTTGTAATTCTCTCAGCTTACAACCTGAACAGGTGATCCAGACCATTCATTCACTGAACTGGATCACCATGAATCATCGTCAACAATGAAATCAACAAATTTTCTTTGCATTTTGAGCCAGTATAGCTAAATTTAAAATCCACTGATAGAACAGATTTGGAAGATTTGTTTAGACTCTTACTGGACTTTACAGTTTGTGTAGGAACGCTAGGAATGCATTAGAAAAGAATATGTCACATGTAAAAGGGAATACAAAATGAAGCAGAGCAGACAAAATAAATCAATTAAAAAATGCCAGTAATGTGGCATATGAAGTTTCTTGCACAAATGACATATTCTCTCTAGGTAAATAAAATGAAAGTCAAAATTTGGGAGTTGTTATTCGGCGAAGACTTCCTAAAAATAGCTCACACTGTGAATGCCATGTCTTTATGTGACATATGAACTCTCACAATTTCACAGTTCATTTCACCAGGAATAGAGGCACTCCTTGTCACTACAAACTGTATAGAGTGGTTATCTCAGATGTTTCACATGGAAAGGAAAATACAACAGAGAATCTTTTCTAGTATTATAATATTTTTAACTTGTTACAGAAGTGCAAAGATGCCAAAATTATTAAGTACTGCTGTATGAAAAGAATATAACCATGTTAGAGTTCATGCTACATACATCAGTTGTTACTAGTATGCTAGAGGAGAAAGCAGTAAAACAGCCAGAAGGGACCACTACAAATCCTCTGTGATTACTGTTTTCATCACATGCTTCTGTCGTGTATATAGAATTAAATAATGCTTTTTGGAGGAGAAAATGTCATCCCGTTCCGTATTATGACAGAAATTCCAATTAAAGAAATAAATGAAACCCAAGTTTATGCTTAGGGGAAAACTGCTGATTTCACTAGCTGTAACTCAGTCGCACATTCTTTGAAGTATGCGAATGAAAGGGGTGTATTTTCACACTTGAATGTGACGTATCAGAGTTGCCCAGAGCTTTGCGATTGCAATCATTGGAGATGAAGGCTTTCTAAGAGCAAAAACTAGAATCACGGAGAAGGAAGATAGCAAACTCTCAAAAAAACTGGGAAATGAGGCACGAGATAATTGTTTGAGATTAATCCCCTTGTGAAAGTGACTGCACAATTGGCTGACTCATGGTGACACAGCGATCTAACTGACAGTACCAGCAGTAATAATGTAAGATTTTCCCATTTAGCAGCTTCTCTTGGGTAGTTTTTACAAGATTTATGTCATTTTGCAGGCAGAGTTAAGCATTTTACTTATATTTTCCACCTCCTTCAGTTACACCAATGTAAAATTTTCTTTATATCTATTAATTCACTAGATTCATGTCAGTCAGCTGTGATGAGTTAATCTAAGTACTAGACAGAATGAAAGTTAGCATAATGTGGCTCTCCGCATTCCCAGCTTCACAAGAACTGTCCTGGTTTAGCTAACTGACAATAATGTAGGACCCCACAATTTAAATAGTATTTAAAAAAGCCAAGCTAACTTACATCGAAAATAAACTTTGTCTTTGGAAGCTTAAATGTTCATGGAAAGATGTGAAGTATAGCAGAGGAGGACATTGTTTGAATGTATTTTCTTTTACTGTACTACAGAGGAATAAATGGTTTTTTCTTTTCTTATGCTAGTTCAGAAATGCTACCATTCAGCTTTTTTGTAACTCTTAGTATGCAAAACCTTGCACTTTCCTTGCTGCTCTTTTGCATTCAGTTATTCATAAAATGTATTTTGGAATCTCAAAATGCTGTATATGAATGAAATTTTGGATCAGCATTCATAAAGTTCTTTTCAATCTAATCTTTCACCTAGATTCCAATATGCAAACAAAATTCAATATGCAACATGGATCAGATCATATTTTTCCATCAAAAGGTTTCTGGGGATGGTAGGCTATTCACTGTCAAATGTACAGTTAAAGGCACATCAGCACTTTAACGTGCAAAATATCAATTTTTTAGTTTGATAAATGTTTTAGAGAGGGTTTCTTCCATATTTTTGCTACCATAGGGTAGCATAAGAAAAGGAAGTACTTGAGTAGAATACACTGGCACATGACAGAATGATCTACATATTATTGAAGTATTGGGGAGGAGTAGAGAAAGGGAGAATATTTCATGAATCTGTAATTCAGTGATATACATTTCTTTGACAGTTGGTATAAAAATTCTTATGGTCTGACCTAAAACTGTACAGATACAAACATCAGTGTGTTTTTCTGATGTTCATTTGCATCCAGATCCCCTTGACATTTTTTCAAGACTTTTTTGGGAACAGTAACATTTGTGTTCATACTTACACATAAACTAAAGCTGTGCTTTATAAAATCATAAATATTTCTGACGTAACACTCTACAAGAAACTTTGGTGGTGATAGAAGGACAAATCTCTGCTTCAAAGTGTGGACTTCTGTGGAGTGGACAGAGTCTTCCTAAGGGAAGAATGATAACAAAAATGGTTGAGTTTCTGGCTCTTGAGATTTTGCAGGTAATTTTGACAGTTAATTTCAACTAAATTATTTCAGTGCACTGCTGAGTCTGGATACTGTCTTTACAGTCTAAGTGAAGGTGAGTTCAAAAGGTTGTTGGATGAAAACAAAAAAACTTGCAAAGGGAGAAATAATGCCATGGTAAAACTTAAAACACAAAGTTTTTAATGACTTAACATAAAATTGTCATGATCTGAATATCATAGCTAAGTTTCAGATTCAGATCTTTATTTCTTTGGATGGCTTGCAGTCTGCCAAGTTGGAAACCCCTACAACAAATGAACGTCTTCCAGTTTTAATCAGCAATGATTTGCAAAAACACTGCACACACCAGCTAAAAATTATTGTATCTTCTCTGATAGTGAAGGCACTTCAGGTAACTGTAGTGCCTTTTATTGTCTACTTATATGCTTATGAAAAAGGAAATACTGATTTTAGGAGCAGGCTATATTGGAATAAATTACCTTGACAGGATGGTATTGTTAGAGGAAGATTAAACATGTAAAATATGGTCTTGGCTTCACATTTACAAGGACATGTGAATGAGGTACAATCAGCTTCAGAGCTACAGTTATTTAAGTAAAGCCTAATACATGGATGTGATGATGTCTTGTATTACTGAATCACAGAAGTTAAAGATAGAAAAGATCTATTAAACAATCCATTTCCTTTTCCTGACGATGTGCTTAATCTATTCTACTTAACAAATTTTCAAGTGATAGAAACTATTTGATTCTTAATAGATTCTATTATCAGGAAGATTTTTTTATCATTCTTCTTTCCTGACATCCCTTTTAGTCTAGGCTGCTGCTGAAACCATGCTATTTTTTTCAGAAAATAATTCAAGATTTACAGTGGGGAAAAGAAGACAGGCAATAGATGCAAGCATAGATGCATGCACGGCATAGAGAACAAATCTCTTTGTGTGGTGATTAGCATAGTTATGGAAAAGAAGGGATTGTTTTTCCTAGTTCTTGCTCAACTTCTGTCCAGGTCCTATTACAGACATCTTGATTAATTTTGGATGAGGCGTGTGGTCTTGATATCAATTCCTGGTCTGAGAAGAGGGTTTCCAGGATCTGCCATGGACATTCAGCTGTTTTTTTGTGAGTCAGAGAATGGAATTGGTTTCCCTCTGTGGAAAAAGATAGATGACTTTGGAGAAAAAACAGTGTATCTTACTAATATAGTTAAGCTGATGGTGTGAATGCCTCCTGGCATTCCAAAAACATTCCTGGAAGTGTGCTTCAAGATGAAGCCTTAGTTAAAAGTCTGTGACATTAAAACTTTTTTATCAATACCTTGTAGATTTTTTTGATATAACCTCCACGGAACAGTTCAGCCTGAAACCATATTTCAACCTGCAGAACACTTTATTTCTTTTGGAAAACATTATTTTAATGGAACTTAGAGCAGTACTTTAGTTATACTGATACAAAGAAATGCTCTGATAGCTAAATTGTATAGATACAAATGTGAGAGAGAAGTTATGAGCTCCAAAACTTTGTGATCGCTTACTGTCTTTTGGTGAATCCACAGGTCTCAAAGCTATCCCTTTCTTAGCGCCTTAGACTTGCAATCATTTGCAACGATTTTGTTGGTTACATGTTGTGCGTTTCTGCCATCTATTGGCAAAAACTTTGAATACTCATCCAAATTCTACAGTATTTCTACAAAGCTAGTGTACTTCATACAGTTTTAAAGCACTTTGTATCATTTTACTTACATAATAATTCATTTTTTTATATAGTGGAAACTGAATTCTGTAAAATTTCCTAGGAGAATTGTGTTTTAATATATGTGCATATGCACTACTTTTCTGTGCAGTAACATTTTCGGTAAACTTCAAACAAGTTTCAGAATTAATTTAATTAAAGTAGTTCTGAATATCTGACTGGTGATTTTTCTGTAATATGTCATTGGATGGACTGTATCACTTTTATATGATGTTGTAGATAACACTTTTTTGCTTGTTTCTAGATACCTTAATTCAGTTTTCACATATGTTTTGAGAGGGTACCAATTGATGTGATACTTCAGAACAGGATTTTGAGTTGTTACAATATTAATAGCAAAAGATAATCTTGTGACTAATATGTATTTGTCATAATATTAATGATCAATTCTTACAAATATTGTTGAGCACAATTGTGAAAATATACTACTCCTTCTCCTCCACTGAGTCAAACAAGTTAGTTTAGTC